GCTGAGATTGCATAAACACAACTCATTATGCAACTGGAAATAGAGCAAAAGTAAATAACTAAACAAATATATTTATCTGAATTTTGTAAACTTTATAGTAATTTTCTGCTTTTTTAAAGTTTGTAATTTTTTGCAATTCTAATGAAATTTCCATTGTTGCTGAAGGACCCTTGTTAGCAAGACAGACTCCATATTGCTGCTTGACCCACCTGCCTGCCCTTTAGATGAACTCAGAAAGAGGAAGCTTAGAAATCTCCTCCCCTTAGAGAGTCTCTTAGAAACAACAATTAATCAACTATTGTTTTACAAATGTTCTAACAGCAGGATGTCCTGCTTCTGTACCCTTTGTTTGCTTTACTCGTTCTATCCCATAGGGGGGCCTAGGAACTATTGGCCTCAAAGGTGTATAAAACATGTTTGTCCACCCTCAGTCGAGGCTCGAGTCTGATGCTTGGCTCAGGTCCTGCCTGGTAATAAACTCCTATATGGATTTAATATTGGTCTCTGGTTGGTTCTCTCTCACTGGGTACAACATTCTTGGAGGCCCCAGCAAGATAGCCAGCTGCTCTAAAGCTTATTATCTTTTAGCCTTTGTTTCTTTTTAGGAGAGACCAGGATTGGACATAGGCAGTGTTTGGCCCCTCTGGACACTGGTCTGTGGAAGGAGAGGCCACCCTGATGGTATTCTGGGGCTCTGGGTAGGCCGGTCCCAGTTGGGCCCTATCGCTGATCAACTGACCCACAGGAGTTTATCAGGAAAGCCTCTAGAGGTAAAAATTAAATGATTCTTAGTGCACTGTGGGTAGGTAAGAGGAAGCCAGAAGTGGCACAAGTTCCCTTACCTACAGTCTCTTTGTGATGGCAAGCAGACTCAACTGGGTCAGAGTCCTCAGAAGAGCAACTCCCTGGGTGGGGTCCAAATCCATTCGGCCCCAGAGATTTTACTTGGCCAAAGTTTGTCTTTGTCTGTTTATTGTTGTCTGTCTGCTTGCTCTGTGTGCCTTTTGTGTTTTCACAAGCTAAAATTGTGGGTTCCTCACAGTCTACAGAAGGAACTCCACTTGGTTGTGTTTCGAATAACTTCAAAAAATTTTATTCCACAGACAGAGAAGATAAATATAGCATGAAATTTTCCAAAGTCAAATTGCAAACTCTGTGTCAATCAGAATGGTCAAGTTTTGGAGTCAGTTGGCCCCCAGAGGGAATTTATTCTGTGCACATTGCTCGCAAGGTTTGAAATGTGGTCACGGGAGTCGGGGCCCACAGGTCCTGATTAACCTTTGGCACTTGATTGGGACAGGACTATGGTCCATCAGCCCTGTCTTCCTCCTCCCTTTTTCCTTTAAAACAGAGCCCGGGGGAG